GCTTGACTACTCTTTCTGTGTAAAAATTCTTCCTCATACCTAACCTGAACCTCCCCTTCATGGTATTACCTATAGTGTTGGTACCTCTTTGGCCCAAATGTTGTGCCCCATTCCTGTCTCACGGGCCAGGCCTCACCATTCATGTGAGGGACAAGTTCACATGAAGAACAAGAAGGTGGGTGATTGAGCTGATATTAGCAGTAAACTTGGGTCTGAGAGGTGGTAAATGCAGCAGGAAAGCCAACAGTGATGTGCTTGCACATGTAGATACGTACTTTTTGGAATCGGCTGCTACTAAATTTTAAGAGACCTTTAAATCAAAACCGCAAATGATGTTTTTCTTCTGTTGTTGAGACCATCAGTGGGGGTGGTGTAATACCATCCTCCAGCTCACCTTTGGGTAGCATCTCCTCCATGGGACAGGGAGCAGCTGGAAAGCAGCTTAAAAGAAAAAGGGAAACAAGAGGCCAAGACCCTGCTGTTGCGAAGGAGTTAAGTGATGGAAACCCAAAATAGACCTTCCAGCAACTAGCAGACTGGCTGCTGGGATGGGTTACAATTACCGCGCAGGTGAGCCAAAAACCTTCCCACTAACCCCTTCCCCGAGGCTCCAGATGAACACGGCACCCGTTTATTCCTTGGGATCTCCATGGGAACACGATCAGAGAAGGAGAACGGTGGAGATCAGACCTGATAACAGACCAGACCAGATAATACACTAGAGCAGAAAGAAATCGGCAGTGGTGCAGGGTGAGACCTGTGCCATTCTTCACGCGCCGCAGTCAACAGAACAAGCCTGGCTGCAAAACCTGTTGCATTGGGGAAGAAAACAAAGTTACATAAAGTGTGCGTGGCAAAGTGGGGGGGAAGGCGTGTTTCCTCACAGCAAATTAGACACAGCAGCAGGATCGGCAGCACGAGCTTGTGCGGGAAAGCAAGAGCCAAAAAGCAAAGCGTGCTCCTCTTCTCAGTTTCTGTGAGGAGGGAAATAACGCAGCTAGCAAGGCCAGGGCAGAAAACACCTTCCCTCACATGCGCCCTCCTCACTTGCTCCCCCACGAACTGCTGGACAGTCTGATGTGGGAAAATACCTTCCGTGGTGCTATGTCCTCCCCCTTCTCTCCAGCCATGGCCTGGGCTCTTCCAGCAGGCTGCGGCCAGCATCAGCTTTCAGCCAGGCCAGGGTGCAG